CCCAGATGTGGATTTGGGGCCTGCAGCTGTCACCCCCCACTGGAGCTGTCCCCAGACGTGGCTCTGGGGGTCACTTCCCTCACCCCCCATCTTTCAGGGTTGTCTTTGTCACCCAGCGTGGCTTTGGGGTCACATCTGTCACCCCCGAACTCTGCAGAGCCTCTCTTGGGGGGGGTCTCTACAAAGTGTCCCCAAAGTGTCCCCAAAGTGTCCCCAAAGTGTCCCCAAATGTTCTGGCCCACTGTGGTGGCTGAGGGACAGCTGGGCATCAACAGGTGGGATCAGCCCATAGCTGCAGGATTCACCCCAATCCTATGGGGTTCACCCCATTCCCGTGGGATTCACCCCATTCCTGTGGGGTTCACCCCATTTCTGTGGGATTCACCCCATTCCCGTGGGATTCACCCCAATCCTGTGGGGTTCAGCCCATTTCTGTGAGATTCACCCCATTCCTGAGGGATTCACCCCATTCCCATGGGATTCACCCCATTCCTGTGGGATTCACCCCAATCCTGTGGGGTTCACCCCATTCCCGTGGGATTCAACCCATTCGCGTGGGATTCACCCCATTTCTGTGGAGTTCACCCCATTCCCATGGGATTCACCCCATTCCCGTGGGATTCACCCCATTCCCGTGGGATTCAACCCATTCCCGTGGGGTTCACCCCATTTCTGTGGGGTTCACCCCATTCCTGAGGGATTCACCCCATTCCCGTGGGATTCACCCCATTTCTGTGGGATTCACCCCATTCCTGAGGGATTCACCCCATTTCTGTGGGATTCACCCCATTCCCGTGGGATTCACCCCATTCCTGTGGGATTCACCCCATTCCTGTGGGATTCACCCCATTTCTGTGGGATTCACCCCATTCCCATGGGATTCAACCCATTCCTGTGGGATTCACCCCATTCCTGAGGGATTCACCCCATTCCCGTGGGGTTCACCCCATTCTTGAGGGATTCACCCCATTCCCGTGGGATTCACCCCATTCCCGTGGGATTCACCCCATTCCTGAGGGATTCACCCCATTTCTGTGGGATTCACCCCATTCCCGTGGGATTCACCCCATTCCCGTGGGATTCACCCCATTTCTGTGGGGTTCACCCCATTTCTGTGGAATTCCCCCCGTTCCCATGGAATTCCCCCCGTTCCCACGGGATTTCCCGTTCCCACGGATTCCCCGTCCCGCTGACCTTGCCGAAGGTTTGCTGCAGCTGCAGGTACAGCGCGCCCTGCTTCACCACCGCCTCCTCCATGGCCGTGCCCGCCGTGCCCGCCGTGCCCGCAGCGTCCGGAGTGTCCGGAGTGTCCGGAGTGTCCGGAGAGTCCTGGAGTGTCCGGAGTGTCCTGGAGTGTCCTGGAGTGTCCTGGAGTGTCCGGAGTGTCCGGAGTGTCCGGAGTGTCCTGGAGTGTCCTGGAGTGTCCTGGAGTGTCCGGAGAGTCCTGGAGCGTCCAGAGTGTTCTGGAGTGTCCTGGAGTGTCCTGGAGTGTCCGGAGAGTCCTGGAGTGTCCGGAGTGTCCGAAGTTTCCGGAGTGTCCGGAGAGTCCTGGAGTGTCCTGGAGTGTCCTGGAGTGTCCGGAGTGTCCTGGAGTGTCCTGGAGTGTCCGGAGTGTCCGGAGAGTCCTGGAGTGTCCGGAGAGTCCGGAGAGTCCTGGAGCGTCCAGAGTGTTCTGGAGTGTCCTGGAGTGTCCTGGAGTGTCCGGAGTGTCCTGGAGTGTCCTGGAGTGTCCGGAGTGTCCGGAGTGTCCTGGAGTGTCCTGGAGTGTCCGGAGTGTCCTGGAGAGTCCTGGAGTGTCCCAGAGTGTCCCCAACTGACCCCAAGTGTCCCCAAGTGTCCCCAAGAGTCCTGAGTGTCCTCAGTGTCCTCAGTGTCCACAATATCCCGATTGTCCTGAATATCCCTGAGTGCCCAGAGTGTCCGGAGTGTCCCGAGTGTCCCCAAGTGTCCTCAGTGTCCGGAGTGTCCCGAGTGTCCCGAGTGTCCAAAATGTCCCAATTGTCCTGAATATCCCTGAGTGCCCGGAGTGTCCCGAGTGTCCTGAGTGCCCAGTGTGTCCGAGGTGTCCGGAATGTCCGGAGTGTCCCGAGTGTCCCCAAGTGTCCTCAGTGTCTGGAGTGTCTGGAGTGTCCCGAGTGTCCCCAAGTGTCCTCAGTGTCCGGAGTGCCCTGAGTGTCCAGAGTATCCACAGTGTCTGCTGTGTCCACGGTGTCCGGAGTGTCCGGAGTGTCCGGTGTGTCCGGCGTGTCCGGCGTGCCCGGTGTGTCCGGCGTGTCCGCAGTGCCCAGAATGTCCCGAATGTCCCGTGTGTCCCCAAGTGTCCTCAGTGTCCGGAGTGTCCTGAGTGTCCAGAGTGTCCACAGTGTCTGCTGTGTCCACGGTGTCCAGAGTGTCCTGAGTGTCCGGCGTGTCTGGCGTGTCCAGAGTGTCCGGGGCTCCCGGGGCTCCGGAGGTCCCAGGCCGTGTCCCGCGGTGTCCCCGCGTTGTCACCGGGTGTCCCGGGGGTCCCAGGCCGTGTCCTGCAGTGTCCCGGGGGTCCCAGGCCGTGTCCCGCGGTGTCACCGGAGGTCCCGGGCCATGTCCTGCGGTGTCACCGGGTGTCCCGGGGGTCCTGGGCTGTGTCCCGCGGTGTCACCGGGTGTCCCGGGGGTCCTGGGCCATGTCCCCACAGTGTCACCGGCCGCACCCCGCCCGTGTCACACTCGGCCCGGGCGCTGCCGCTTCCTGCGCGCGCCACCGCTTCCTGTGGGGCCGGGGACACGCGGGGAGCGGAGGGGGTGGCACCGGGGACAGGGGGTGGCACCGGGGACAGGGGGGTGGCACTGGGGTGTGGCACTGCTGACAGGGGTGTGGCACTGGGGTCACGGGTGTGGCACAGGGGACAGGGGTGTGGCACTGTGGGTGTGGCACTGGGGACACGAGTGTGGCACTGGGGACATGAGTGTGGCACTGGGGACACGAGTGTGGCACAGGGGACACGGGTGTGGCACTGGGGACAGGCGGGTGTGGCACTGGGGACATTGGTGTGGCACTGTGGGTGTGGCACTGTGGGTGTGGCACTGTGGGTGTGGCACTGGGGACACGAGTGTGGCACCGGGGACAGGGGTGTGACACTGTGGGTGTGACACTGTGGGTGTGGCACTGGGGACAGGCGGGTGGTACTGGGGGAGTGGCACTGCGGGTGTGCCAATGCTGACCTGGGTGTGGCCCTGGGGACATTGGTGTGGCACTGTGGGTGTGGCACTGGGGACACGAGTGTGACACTGGGGACACAAGTGTGGCACAGGGGACAGGGGTGTGGCACTGATGACAGGGGTGTGGCACTGGGGACACGAGTGTGGCACAGGGGACA